GGCAGGCCGCCATGGGCCGGGCGGTCACCCTGGCCGCCTGTGCCCTCAACCAGTGGGCCCTGGATTTTGAAGGCAACCTGGAGAGGATTTTCAGAAGTGAGTGGGGCTGCGGGGCCGGGCCGGGCGGGCCTGAGCGCTGTTTAATCCGTCTTTCCTGTAGGTATTGAGATGGCAAAGAGCAAAGGGGCCCGGTACCGGCTTGGTCCGGAGCTGGAAATCTGGTAAGTGGGCTTTGTGGTTCGCTTTTGGTTGGTTCCTGGTTCATTGCTGGAGAGCGGTCAGGGCTCATGCCCAACGTGTGGCTCGGTGGGAAGGAAAGCATCGTAGTTGCAAGCACAAGGTGGGTTCTCCTGTCTTGGCAACGTGACTGGTACCCATCATTTTTGACCTATTTCAGCTAGCCCTTTTCATTAAAACTGCAGCTCTTTGAATTCTGACCAGGCTGCTGCTGTGGAAAAGGAACTATCCCACTGATGCCACAGAGTGCTGCCTGTAGGGATGATACTGACCGTGCTGCTTCTTCATGTTCTGTGTAAATTGCCTGTGTGGGTGAGGTGTGCCTCGTATTGCAGAAGTCCCTTGGTTGTGGTGTCTGAATTCTTTCTCTCTTACATTTTTACATGCAGTGGGTATGGCTGCTCGGATCACTATTACGAGTCTGACACGCTCTTGCATTCATTTCAAGTCCTGGCAAAGCTTTTGGAGTCTCCAGCTACTCAAGATATTATCTGTGATGTGGGAATGTAAGTTTTTTCCTGTACCTGTCATAATGGTGTAGGTCTCTAAGGAAAGCTTCCTCTGCTGTGTACCTGGATAGTGAGGGCTCCACATCAAGCTTCTAAACACATCTTAGGAATTGCATTACTTTCCCTTTTGATTACCATGGCTTAAACTGCAGCATGCAAAACACTTCCTGAGAGGGAATCCTTTCAAAGATTTCTGGTGGTTGAGCTGGTCAGGGGAGAAACTGGGTAATTACAGTTATTTATTTGAAACATTAATGGGTGGGTACCCAATTGCTGTGGGTAGGAGTATGATATAATAACACAAAGGGCTTTATAAATTGACTCTCTTTCAGCAACGTCAAGGCTAAAGTAATTTGTTTTGCCTTGAAGACATCTTTAAACAACATATGTGTATGTCAGAATCACTGACACCATTGTAAATTACATGCTGACAATGACCATTGCTAAACTGTAAAATTAATGTGTGTACACCTACTTGTTAGTGTTGATACGAGTGTGTAAAGCTAGTTTTATTTTGAACTAGCCTGATAGTATCACAGGAAGTCAAGTTTAATCAAATATGTTAGGCCAGCTAGGGGGATTCTTCTGGTTGGCTTGTGTATCTCAGGCCTGCCAGTCATCTGGCCATAGTTGATAAGTCTGGGGCTGACAGAATGGTCAGTAACTCTTGATTTTTGAAAACGACTATTTGGATTAAAAATTAGAAGCTAAAATTTGATAAATTGCTTTGTTTAATTCTCTTGAATGATACAGTGTAGAATTGTCTTAAAAATAGTTTTTGAGCAGTGAAGTAGATTCTGTAGCTTTTCTAGATTTCCTTTACCAAGCTTGGCCATTGGTAACTTTGCTTCTTATTTTCACAGGCCTGTTCTGCACAGAAATGTTCGCTACAATTGTCGAGTGATCTTCTTAAATAAGTGAGTAGTCCTTTCTGTGTTTTGGTGCATTAGTGTATCCTTTCAGAGACTTGTTTGGCCTTCAGGAAAGATTCTTCAGTGCTGTGTAAAGTGATGGAGTTGTCATGATTCATAACTATTAAACTTCAGAGAGCCAACCCATGTTTGCCATTATCTCTTTATCCTTTCTGAATTTGTAGAAACAAAATCCTCACTGCTTTCTGAAAGACTCCAGAAAGCCCTTAAGTCTGCAAACAGAAACTTTAAACCTTATTGTATGTAGGAGACATTTAATGTACATCATAACAGAAAAAGAGTTTGTATTAATCAGTGTTTTTATTTGGTCTTTGGTTGTACCTCAGGTCTTAACTTGCCCTTTCTGTTTTGTTTTATGTTTTAAGAAAAATTCTTCTGATCAGACCAAAAATATCCCTGGCAAATGCAGGAAACTACAGGGAACTTAGATGGTTTACCCCGTGGAACAAAGCAAGGTAGGATGGCTACCATTGCAATTGTGTGTGAAAGCACAGCTTGCCTTTTGCAGCCACGGGCTGAAATCTCCATAGCAGTCCATCTGTGCTGCTACAGGGTGGGCTAAGCAGCTAAGCTACATAACTGAAGTTCAGCTAAAAAGTTTATTAAGTCCAATCCAACTCTGAATTGCTGAGCTGGAAGGAAAAGTGTGGCTCAGTGATCCTGCAACCAGTGCAGCGGTGTTGTTTTCTTTGTGTCTAGTTTCTAACTGTGCAGTTCAGGATTGGAAGAGTCTGTGTTTATCTGCTTGATTGCTGTATCCAGTTCAATATTCAGTGGGGAAACAACGTTACATGGATGAGCTCCACCAGAATTTTAATGACTGCAGAGGATGGAAGCTACGTACCTTATGATGCTCCAGAATGGGCTTGATGTTCATCCCTGATGCCATCCACTCACCCTGTAGTTCTAACTTGGTGGTATCAGTAAATTAATTCTTAGAAATCCCCTGAAAATCTGTCTTCTTAACCCCAGTCAATCTGAGTTACTTGTGTAGTGACACTGCAAAAAGAGAAACTTCCATT